TAGTCTTCATCAATACAGTACAGGATGGCCGTCCCAGCAGAGAACCCTAACTGGCAGGTGACAGGTCCCAAGCCGGGGGGTGGTTTTATTTTGTTCCAAGGGGTGATTTCATGAGAGTGTGAGTCTGGTTTTTGTCTGTCCCGGGATCCCTTGTATCCAATTGAACACAGAGTCTGGCGCTGTGGCACACCGTTATCTTACGGTGCTCGGAAGTTCCAAACGCTTAAAAAAACAAGCGTGCTCAGCCGGTAGTCTTTTTCCCAGAAGTCAGATGGGCTGCTGGGTGTACGGTTGGGTGGGGGGAGGCAGCGTATGGGAGCAGCAGGGAGGAGGGAGGGCCCGAGGGAGACAGGCAGAGCTCAGACCTTTAAGGACGGTCGTTCGGCTGCTGTCACTCCTCTTGTACTGACTCATTTTTCCCTTCCTGAGCCAACTGAGGCCAAGGACGTCTTCTCCAGGGCCCAGTCCACCCCCAAGCATTGCATGATTCTCGGCGTGATGGTGTGGGTAACTTGGGCGTGGAGACCGAATTCCGCCCCTGTGCGCGCCTGTCACATGGCAGGACGCACGTTGGTCTCCAGCCCGAAAGGGCCCGGATCCTGCCTCCATTTCAGTCTGTGAGATGGCCCTTCCCTTCGCCAGAAAGCAGGCAGTCGGACTCTCTGAAACCCCCGTGAAAGAATCCGTCATGCGTCCTAAACACCGGTTTCCCCAACGTCACCTCCCTGGCCTGACACCTTGCCTGTGGTCGCCGTGGCTCTGAGAGGGGGTCTCCTTGGCCCAGTGGCCCCATGCGTCCTCACGGAGGGTGCAGTGCTAAGGCTGTTCTCCGTGTGCTCTTTCCTTCAGGACTCCTGGACGCCAGAGTTGAAGGCGAAGTTGGAAAAGTTCCTGGCTTTGATTTTTAGAGCCAGTAGCACGCCAAGGCTATTAACACTCTGCGTATCCTTTCTGGGTGGCCGGAGGCTGGCCGTGGGCTAGGGCAGGTGCTGTCGGGGTCATGCACTGGCCCGGGCATCCCCTGGCCACAGGGACTGCCAGTGCTGCTGTCGGAGGGGACAGGGCAACGGGCTCAGTGGAGACTTGTCCACCTCCCGTGCCCAGAAGTGGTTTTTATTTTTTCACTGCGTCGAGTTGAACCTGACTCAGTGCCCCATAGGACGGGGTAGAGCTGCCCTCGTGGGTTTCCGAGACTGAACTCTTGTGTTTTTTAAAAACAGTTTATTGGCATTGCATTCACATATCGTACAATTCCGTAGTTGGGTCACATCAAGAACAGCCGTGCGGTCATTGCACAGAGTCAGTTTGAGGACATGTTCTCCCTCCTTGTGCTCCGTGTTGCACGTGTCAGGATGATTGTTCATAATTTGTCAGAAATGTACACCGCAAAACATTCTCCCATTCAACAACTGGCTGTAATTCTTTATGGGGGCAGAAAGCTCCCCATCCGTCACCCAGAAGCTGTCTTAGGGGGACCGTGTGTCTGTCTTCGTGGAAAAGCACCTCTGGACAGAAGGGGGATGAGTGGGTCACTCGTAAGCCCGGAGGGGGTGCCACCTCGGTCAGTGACCGTGTAACTGACTCACATCCCCCTAGCAGGAACCAGTGCAGCCATGCAGAATGGTTCCTGGAAGCCAGCCCCCACTGGCTGGCAAGTGCATTTTTCCTCCCTCTCGACTCTGCCGAGGTTCTTTCTCAGAACTGGCCACCCTGGGCTCCTGAGCGCCTGTTTTCCTGAACGTCTTTCTCATCCCAGAAGGAGAACGGACCCAGTAACAAAGGTAAACCACTGAGCTTGACGTTTTCTAAGAGCCACGGTGCCAACTCAAGTCTCAGGTCTTGAGATCGCGGCCGAGCTGGGGAGACTCCGGGGACAGGGCATGCGCGGGCTTTGCACGTCGGAAGGTTTCTGGCATGTTTTGCAATCGTGTTTCCTGGGACTCCTCGTTTTGCTGGCTGGCTGGCATTGCTAGCTTCATTTTGCATGTCAGATAATGAAGGCTAGAGAAATGCCCCCCTGCCCCCGCCCCCGCAGTAACACAGCCCTGGTGAAGGAAGACGTCTTACAGTGGCTCTAGCATTTGACCTTGACCTAAGCAAAGGAGGCGCCCTGGTGGCGCAGTAGCTAAGTGCTTGACTGCTAACTGCAAGGCCAGTAACTGGGTCCAACCCGCCAGCTGCTCCGTGGGAGAATCACCGCAGCCAGCGGCTCCCATGAAGATGGACAGCCCTGCAGACCTGGGGGCCCGCGCCTCCCGGGGGGCTCCGAGTGGGAACACACCCTACAGCACGCAGCCAGAGGAGAAGGGAGGTCTGACTGCAGAGCCTTCCCCTTTGTCAAGTTCAAAGTCCGAGGTGTCTGGTTGGATAGGTTTTTGGTCACTTTCCCCTGTTAACGTGGAAACAGCAGTGACAGTCGGGATGGGTGCCACATGGCCATCTCGGCTCCGTCCTGCCCTTCATTGGAACCGGTGCCAGAGTAGGAGCCATTGGGCTGCTAA